GTTTTTTTTTTTTTTTTTTTTTTTCAATCCTTCAACTAGTGGAAGGACTAAAGTTTATGGGAATAGAGAGATACTTCATTGGTCTCTATCTCTATCTTTCCCTTTCCTCCTCTCCTTTATCCAGCCCATGCAAACAAAAGATTATTAGCCCTTTTCGTCCTTCATCTCTTTCATTAACCTTTTTCTTACTTAAAGATTCTAGATTATACAAAGCTCTAGAAAGCTTATTCTTGTTTCTCTCTTTGTCAATCTTGTATGAATGGTCTGTTTGGAAGAGCTTCTTAAAAGCTGTTTTTGACTTCTCAAGTTCAAAAACAGTTTCTAAAAGTATTTAGATGATCTGTCAGAAGTGTTTTACATTTTCAGAAGAGCTTCTAGTCAAAGTTAGAAATTGTAGTTTAAAAAAAAAAAACACTTATGAATAGACTTTAGAATTTGTACTAAAGTTTAATTAAGGCATTATAAACTTAACTATAACACTTTTATTGCTTATTAGAAAATTTAAAAATCATTTTGATCCCATTAAGCTCTTAGTTCTAAATATTTACTGAAAAGCTACAGTTTTTACTTATCTTCTTTTACTAGCTAAAAGCAAAAGTAAAAGCTCTGCTAAACAAGCTTGAAACCCTTTTCATGTCGATTTCAAATTTCCTATCGACGTAAAAAATACCTTATTTTATTGGGGATCCGTCCTTATAGTGTATGTCAATATCTTGTTATATATTATTTCCTGTATTTTTTTTTCCTTTTATCTAGTCTGCCTCTAGTTTATAACAGACATTGTCTTTCCTGTTTATGACTCGATAATCGGTTTCTCTTCAATACTTACATTCTCTAATATAATCTACCCATCCCTCGTCATTTTCCTCCTTATAATGTGTAAATTTCGTCGAATACTATGTTTGCTTTGACCGTTAAATATAACTGTTTTACCTCTCGGAAAAACATGAAATTGTTAATAACAACAAATTAAGATCTTTGTAACAATATGTATGACATACATATACACACATATATATATATATGTGTGTATATATATATATATATATATATATATGGAAATGAAATTGCTTCCTCATGCACGAACAAAACACAATAATATATATGTCCGACAAGTCGGGGACCATATTGATCTCTATATCTCTCCCTATATATATATATATGTGTGTATATATATATATATATATATATATATATGGAAATGAAATTGCTTCCTCATGCACGAACAAAACACAATAATATATATGTCCGACAAGTCGGGGACCATATTGATCTCTATATCTCTCCCTTTCTCTCTCTCTCTCTTGAGCATTCAAAAGAAGCCAAAGAAGCAACAGCTGTCTGTTCTCAACACGAGCAAAAGCAATAAAAGATAGAGCTTGCAGAAGCTTCCAAAAAGAGCTATATATATATAGAGAGAGAGAGAGAGAGAGAGAGAGAGAGAGAGCTAAAATTCTTTACTCAATTACTTTTTTTACAATGCCTGTGAAGTGTACTACTAGTGGCTTAATCTTTGCATGTGAATAAAGATAAAAAGAACATAACATAACACAATATAACAGAAAAAAGAAAATCTTTGCATGTGATTTGTAAAAGGTAACTCGATAAATTTCAAAAGTACTATATTAACCGGCAAGTAAAAAAAAAAAAATATATATATATATATATATATGCCTATATAAGGCTATTCTTCCTTACCCTTTTGTGACCAGAAATATACAAACCTTATCGTCAGTAGTACTATTCTCAAACAAGGTCAGAAAAAGAATGATGAAACTCTTTTTTATTTTCATTATCGCCGCCCTTCTTCTGCTGCAGGTAAATAAATTATTTTCATCTCAAAGTCATAATTATATATTAATTTGTTATTATTGATTGAGAATATTAATGTACTTATTTGATGATTAATTTTTTATTAGTTTTGATTTTGATCACCTTTGGATGTTTTGTTTTGCGTCTCTTTGGCAGGCTATTTCAGAGGCATCGCCGATCCATAATGCTGGAAATTCTCTTAGCCCTAATATTGTGAGTTTTCTGAATTCTGATCCAACTCTTTTCTGTTTCTACATTTTTCAAATTATGTACGTATAATAGTGATAGTTTTAATTGGTTTTTATGCTTATTACTATACCATAGCTAATATTCAATGACAGACACTTAATAGAAATTAACATTTCCAACCACATTAATCTTTACATTATATTTTCCCAGCCAAAAATCTTTACATTTATTTACTACTTTTTTTTCTTCCTTTTTTTCCTCCTAAGGTTATACACACACACACATATATATATACACTTTTATATATACATGTGTATTAAATATCAATTTTATATATACATGTGTGTTAAATATCAATTTTTTTCGTATCAATTATCACTGCATCATATCAATTTGTCAGTTAAGGTGGTCTACAATAATTATTTATAATAAATTGCTTTTCACTATTCACCAGCCACAATTTCTCTTTTGGTCGCCCATCAATTCTACACGGTTCTGTCACCAACACCAAAGTTATCGTTCATCCTCTGTTTTGTCCTTGTGTCTGAATTATCTCTTTCTACACACAGGGAATTGGATCTTTATTTATTTATTTTTTCCTCCTTCTTCTTCTTTAATTCTCTATACTTGTCTTTCTTTCTTTTTTTATAAAGAAAAGAAAATGGCTTTCATTCGATAAGCAAAATGTCTGCTCTTACGGAGGGGCTAATAAGATCCCGTTTATTTTATAGATTTGAGTTTAGAATTCAAATTTTGTTACAGTAAAAACCTCTTAAAATAGTCACATCTAACTTTTTTGTTACAGTAAAAAGTTCTCACATAAAGTCACATCTCAACTCAAATTAAAAACTCATATCAGCGAACTAAACAAGCCTTAATAAGCCCCGCCCCCTCCCTAACCGCAAAACACTCTCCCAAATGTAGAGAAAATCGTCCAAAGTCCCGTTTTTTGTGATATATCTGGCGCAAATAGGAATTAAATAAGCATATAGACCAATGTTCAGTACACATTTTTGAGCGTCACATAATGATTTGGTACTTATTATATATGCAACTATGATGAAATTTATTAAAATATGATAGTTTAAACATGTATATTTACCATGTATAGACTAGTACTTTTGTTTTGCCCAAGCACAAATTTTTGTTCAATTAAAGGGAAAGCTCCGAATTGGGCTAAAGTTTATTTGGTTCTCATTGATTTTGTGGGCGGCCAATTCAGCAGGTTCATGGAGGAAATGTTGGTCAGGTAGCTCTCCACAAAAAGAACCTTCCAAAGATAAGTAAGTTGTCATACTTTAATTTGGTATCATATACATATACTTACATTTCTATATATATATATATATATGTTTATATAAAAGGAAAATAGAAGCACAGAAAGACACTGCTCTTTTGAGATCCTTAACTTGGAAACCAATCCAAGCAGCCAATAAAGAACAAAGTAAAGGCAAAATATTTATATATTAATGTAAAAAAAAAAAAAAAAAGAGCAAAATTCGATATGATAAAACTCAGTGGAAAAGAACGATATGCACGGGATCAGCCGGTATCTATTCCATCACTTCTGTCAAATCTAATTAAGCTATAGGTTGTATTTACCATTCATACGGCCATGCACGTACCACAAAAATTTACTTTTATAACTTCCAAATAATTATGGCAAAAGATAAATTTAACATTTGAATTAGTATATATACTAGACCAGTTAAAAACAACAAATCAAATATGTCATTAATTATCGTACTTTTTTTATGTCAAATGTCCAATTTAACATTTGTTTTGAAGATTGTCTAATATCTAATTACGCCTATTCTGTTATTTATGTAAATATTTTTTCAAAAAAAAAAACAGAGAGAGAATAGGCCTCTTTGACATCCTTAACTTGGATTCCAATCCAAGCAGCCAGGAAAGAATAAAGCAAAGGCACAATATCAATGTGCATAACAAGGAAAAGAAAAAAGTAGGCCAAGTTATTAAAGATATCGTAGCCTAATTAGTGGAAACAATTTATATCCATAGAAGGTATCCATGATCTATATATTAGTTGATCTGTTATTCTGTACAGATTTATGTTCGTATGATTCACGAGAAAACGTGTCTGCTTTAGAAGTATTAGTACTTTCATATCTAATCTATAATATTCTGTTCAATCTTGGTTGTAAAGGAACGGTGTGGGGAAAGTTATCTGTGATGCCAACTTTTAGTTGTGATATATCATATATATATATATATATATATATATATATATATGCTTGCAGTTCATGATATTGATACGTTCTAATCCTTTTTGGCAAGAAAAATAAAGAGATCAGCACATATATATTTTACGTATATTGTATGTATACACTGTATATAAATTGGTATGACATTGACAACGAATTATGACACACTCACATATTTATATATGTGTGTGTGCATGCATGCAGATTGCAATCAGGCATGCTTGAGAAGATGCAAGAAGGCTTCAAAGAAGAAGAGATGCATGAGAGCATGCAAAGCGTGTTGCGTGAGATGCCACTGCGTTCCGCCGGGCACTTATGGCCATAAAAGTGTGTGCCCCTGCTATGCTCGCCTCAGGACCCATGGACACAGGCTCAAGTGCCCTTGAACCATATATATATATATATACACATACATACATACATATATATTATATTCTCTCTCTCTTGGAGAGAGATCTACTGAGAATAAGAACTATACCACGTGGATTTATTTGGATATAATTCGCGTGTTCTATATATAAATGCATTTCTGTTTGTTATGGACTAAATAATATATTGTGAAATAAATTCGAGAGGGATATATGATCATGTTGATGATCATATAATAAGTATGTGGACGTGCCTTTCTTATAATTATAGAGTAAATGTGAAAGAGCCATTTTCCGTTAAGAGTACTGTTGGTTTCTGCAATTAATTAAGTTTTATTTATGCTTTTTCCCCTGAATTGTAGTAAAAAAAGATTTGAATAAACACCAAAATTTCGTAAGAACCAACAAGGTTTAAGCATAGTTTAATCTCTCTCTCTCTCTCTCTCTCTCTCTCTCTCTCTCTCTCTCTCTCTCTCTCTCTCTCTCTCTCTCTCTCTCTCTCTCTCTCTCTCTCTCTCTCTCTCTCTCTCTCTCTCTCTCTCTCTCTCTCTCTCTCTCTCTCTCTCTCTCTCTCTCTCTCTCTCTCTCTCTCTCTCTCTCTCTCTCTCTCTCTCTCTCTCTCTCTCTCTCTCTCTCTCTCTCTCTCTCTCTCTCTCTCTCTCTCTCTCTCTCTCTCTCTCTCTCTCTCTCTCTCTCTCTCTCTCTCTCTCTCTCTCTCTCTCTCTCTCTCTCTCTCTCTCTCTCTCTCTCTCTCTCTCTCTCTCTCTCTCTCTCTCTCTCTCTCTCTCTCTCTCTCTCTCTCTCTCTCTCTCTCTCTCTCTCTCTCTCTCTCTCTCTCTCTCTCTCTCTCTCTCTCTCTCTCTCTCTCTCTCTCTCTCTCTCT